GAAGGGGGGGGGGAGAAAAAAATCATCGGAGAGAAAGAAATCGTACCGAATCCCGGATTATTGTGTAAGAACGGGACTACGTCGGAAACAAGAAAAATCAGCTCTGTCTCGGAGCAATTTAATATATGGAAATATAATTCCGCGGTATAATTAAGTTCCGACGAGTATTATAATGGAAATTTATGCATTATTTTTACTGTTATCTGATTCTTATACAATTATAAACGTAGTTGCTTCGATCGCGGCAATTTATTTCTCTCTGCAGCCCTCACACTTTCTTCACCAGAGGGATGCAGCTTATTCCGCGGATAAATCAAATTAACGATCTGCGCATGTGGTTAGATTAATTATCCGCTGCATAATTAGCTATGTATGTCAGCGAGTTAGTATCGCATTGCTTCATTACTTCCCTTCGTTCTCATACGATCTAAATTTCGCGAGGATGCAGAAGCGCGTTTGATAGTCTACGGTTTAATATCGACCAATAGGCGAAGTAAGGCGGTAAAGAGCGCGTCGTGCTATTCGTAAGTCTCAACTCATTCATAGACATACAGAATAGATACTTGCTTAACGTAGAGAACATGACGGTAGGTGGAGATACAAAAGAGCCACGAGAGAGCGGGCCTCAAGATACGCAACGGGTGTTTTGTTGTTTAGCACGAAGAGGAGAAGAGAGACACAAAGAAGTAGATTGAAAAATGTGTCGTCTATACATCGTGAGATCAAAAAGGGCATTAGAAGGATACTATACAGCGACTTAATGATAACAAATTAATTAACTGTATGTGTGTGTGGGTATGTGTGTGGGTGTGTGTGTGTGTGTGTATGTGTGTGCGTGTGTGCGTGCGTGTGTGTGCACAGGCATTTCCCATCGATGTCGGAAGATACTCCAATTTTTCCCTGGTATTCGCTTTCAACGCCAAATAATTTCCACAATCGAACCTCGAGTGAAATCTTTGCTCATGTAAGAATCGAAGTCGAGTTCAAAGCTCGTTTTCAGCACTGAGAAAAAAGTACAGTCAATTTCAACAAAATTCACATTTAGTTGAATATCGTCAACTAAATTTTATTAAATATAAAGACACATTTTTATTTAATAATACGAGACCACATTAATTCGATCCAATCATTCTTTTTACCGTTAACAAATATTGATTTACCGTTCATTTAAATGTTAAGCTGGCAGTACATATTGAATTAAATATTTATTAAAATTGACTATATCTTTTACCTCAGCGAGAGTGAATAAATTCGCTTCTATTATCGCAGTCTACTTTTAGGGGATGAATACAGCAATTTTCTCGAATCACAGCTACTTCGAAAGACGGAGAATACGGATCGGGCTATCCACCGGTAGCGATGGGATCCCCTGTGTCTCGTGATTTCGTATATCAGTAATGTAATCGTTATACA